TTTCATGGAAACAGTGAAGGAGGACTGTATGTATGAAATATCGAAATATCAATTTTATAGAACAAGAGCAAAATGTGCAGCGGGTGCATCGGTTGTGATTGGACTTGTTGAGGAACAATACAAGATTCTTTGGGACTATCGGGAAGAGTTAAAGAAAACTAACCCTGGAAGTACGATGCAGGTTGAGGGAACAAGAGGTGTGTTCAAGAGAATGTATGTATGCTTTGGGGCATGTAAAGAAGGTTTCAAGGCTAATTGTAGGCCTGTGATAGGACTTGATGGGTGTTTTTTGAAGACTACGCATAGGGGTCAATTATTGGCAGCAGTGGGGATGGACGGTGAGAATTGTATGTTCCCAGTTGCTTGGGCAGTCGTGGATGCAGAGAATAGAGCCAATTGGACTTGGTTTATAGAACTTTTGGTGGTAGATATAGAAATATATAATAGTAGGGCTTAAACTTTCATATCTGACAAGTAAAAAGGATTGGTTGAAGCCCTGAATGAGTGTTGTAAAGGTGCAGAATACAGGTGCTGCGCCAGACATTTGTACAACAATTTCACTCGCAATCATAAAGGGCTAACTTTGAAGAATTTGTTCTGGGCTGCAACCAAGTCTACAACTGTACCAGAGTGGAATGCAGTTATGAATGAGATGAAGATGGTGAATGAAGAAGCCTTCTGTTGGTTTAAGGAGAAGCCTACAGCTTAATTGATGAGATTGCATTTTCAGGAGCATACGAAGTGCGATATGTTGTTGAATGACTTGTGCGAAGCTTTCAATGCCTCCATCGTTGTAGCTAGGGAGAAGCCTATAATCACAATGTTGAATAAGATAAGGCACCAACAAATGACACGGATGGCTGCAAATAGGGAGGCAGCTCAAAGGTGGGATTGTGCATATGGTCCAAAAATTGTAGGGATAATTGAGAAGGCTAAATCAGATACTAGGTTTATAAGGGCAGATTATGCATGTAATAAAAAATTTGAAGTTCGTAACACAGATGGTTTGAGGTGGAGTGTGTATTTGGTGACGAAAGAGTGTGCATGTAGGAAATGGAAATTGAGTGGAATTCCTTGTATACATGTCGTTTCTGGTATGTTGTCAAGAAGAATAGACATAGATAAATTTGTAGATGAATGTTACAAGGAGAGATATCTAATGGCATACAACTCCGTGATTCAGCCAATGTCAGGGCCCGAACTTTGGCCTGAATTAGGGAAACACCCATTGAAGCCACCAGTGAAGAAGAAGCAGGCAGGCAGGCCTAAAAAGCTCAGAAAAATATCTCAGACTGAACCACTCGCTGGAGTTAAAATGACTCGAACAGGCATGCAAATAACGTGTAAAAGGTGTGGAGTCTCTAGACACAATAAGAAAGCATGCACTGCACAGACGCCGCCTACTGACGTACCACAGTCACAGAAGCGAAAAAGAGAGAGAGCTACAGCTATCTCAAATGGAAATGCACCACAGTCACAGTCACAGAAGAGGAAGGGAAAAAAGTCCAAAGCAGGGTAATTTAGATGTCATTGGATGTAGGAATGTAATTGAACTTTTTGGAATGAATTATGGAATTTGATGTTTTGGAAATGGTACCATGACAATATATGTGTTAAGTGTTAAAATACTCTTTATTTCGAGGGTTGAAGTTTTATTTGTGATGTCATATATTGGATTTCGTAAATTAATGTGTGCTACCTATGTATACACATTTTTATGTTGCATCTACACTTGAAGTTGTTGTTAATTTTGTACTGGAAACTGTTGTTAAAGTGATGGGGTATTTACTATAAGTAGATGAATAGAAAATGGGCATTTTCCGCCATTTTTTCAAAGGATTGGACCAACAATCCACAAGTGAGAAATGTTGGGGGCTTTATCTGCACTATATACCTAACGTTTGGGAAGATTTAACAAACGTTTGGGTGTTAATATTTGCATATTTATTTGAAAAAAAAAATTGGTCAATGTTAACAGTGAACACGTGCAGAACACCATAAAATTGCAACTGCATTTAAGCCTCCATTAACATAGGGGAAGTAGGTTACACAATGAAGAAAGGATGATTACAGATCCAACTAAAAAATAAAAACCCCTACGCAGATTTAATTGCAGATCCACTTCACAAACATTCCACATACAAACCCACAAAACCAAGTCCTCCATACCCCATCTCCATTCGAACGGAGTTGCCTAATTTTAGCTTCCATCTCTCGTCTTGACCTCAGAAGATCAGGTATCAGCTCCTTCGATCTCTAACACATAGGGGGATCCCACCAAAGAAAAAATGTACAGCCCTGCAGATCCATCCCTTGTGGACAGGTAAGAAATTGTCTACCTGGGTTTAAGTTAGTCCACGATGTCTACATCTGGGCACGAGTTCCACAATTGCACACTAGCATCTCCATTACTTCTATGTTCGATTCAGGATGTTGATAGAGAGTGAGAAACTAACAACTAACAAACAATTTATTAGGGTCGTACTTGTATTCTTCATTTGGAGGGAAATGAACAAGTAAAAAGGGGCATGAGAAGGTGTTTTAAGTGTTTGGTCGATTTTACCCTCCTCTATTTTGGTTAAAAGTGGTCAATTTTTTATCAGGACGGTCAACTGACGAGCGTTTGGACGGTTTCCATTCAAAAGGGCCTTCACTGCAACGTATGTAAAGGTTAGGGGTGACGGCTGCTACAAATCAAAGGTTTGGAGAAAGTCTGCAAGTGTTTTAAAGGTTTGGGGCTTCTTCTGCAATTTTCCCTTTATTAATATCGGAAGAGAAAGATAGCTTTTAGACTTACTTTATATCATCTCAATCAGATATCAAAAAAGAAAGATATATCAAACAGACTTATGGCTACTCAGAGACGAAATCATGAATGCCTTTTTCCAAACCCGAGAGCATGAGATGTGTTCTACACGTGTGCACCAAACATACCCTTCTGCATGCGTGGTTCAAAAAATGGCCAGACCAGGCTACTGTCAGAACTCTTTTGAAAACAAATTTTAACTTGTTTCTCGACCTAAATTCGATTTTTATAGTACAGAACTTGGGTAAAACATTAATGATCTCTCTCTAGCCTCTTAATATATATTCATATCATAAAATTCATCAAAAAAAAAAAGGTGAATTCTCATCTTTTTGGAGAGAGATCAACCTAGTAAAGGATTGAAGGTCAATTAAATAAAAAATTTGAAGATTTCGAGTTTGGAATTGAAGAAGAACGTCTCTTGTATTTATCATGTTCCGTGTGATATCTATTTATTATTTTTCTTGTAATTTATATAAAATCACGTTAGGCTAGATCATTGTTTGTATTGGATGAAGATGAACTATTGCGCTTATTAATTTAATTCAAGACAAGTAGTTTAGTTAATTTCTGATTAATCCTGCATCCTCGTTGTTTTATTTAATTGCTTGACCATAAATTTGGTAATTAATTATTTTGTTGTAGTGTTGGAATATTCATAATAAGTTTAGAACAATAGATGTTAGAAATAACATGTATGACTTGTACAATCTATGTGATAATCTTGTGCTTGAATGTGTTTAAATCATATAAATTTGGACTAGGAATAGAATCAGGATCGTGTCTAGAATATATTTATATTGAAGTAGAAAGTTGAATATAATAGAATTATCGATTGTCAATAATGCATTGTTGAAACTAAATTACATATTTGAGAATTGAAATCGATAACAATAAGTAAATTCGTAAGTCCAATATAATCATTCCATATGAGTCTACCACTAATGTTTTTGCATATATCTTAGAATAACTAAGAATAATTACAAAATCTTCTATTTCATGTTACATACTTCGAATATGATAAAAGATTAGTACACATGAATTAGAATTTATTCAATGTAGGATGATACACGTAACTCATCACCTATTACTTGTCAATGGTCCTGTCTGGTTGTCAGATTCGCTTGATCAAAATACCTTTTAGAATTGAATATAACATTCATTGTAGACTTTTAACATAAATTCATGACTTTGTTTTGTATCATATATTTTATCCTCTTATTCACTCACAATAAATGGTACGAGTTTTTTAGTTTAACGAGTTATTGGAACGTACCAATATCATGCAATCAAGTTTCAATTTCAACTATTCATAACGGTTCCAAGTGTTAGATTGTAAATAATAAATAATCAAATGAATAGATTCATTTGCAAGCAGTTTGTGATTTTAGTAGATATGACGATTTTTTATTTTAACATGCTATTCTAGCATACCAACATCATGAATTCTAGTTACAATTTCACCAATTTATGAAGGTTCCAAGTGTTATTATTGTAAATAAATAGTTAAATGAATAGAATCATTTGCAAGCATTATTTGATTTTAGTAAACATAACTATTGATGTAACGTGTGAGGTGTTAAATTACAACATTTCTTGCACAAAACTCGTACTCCACTAATTGATTTGACCTGCTACCTTATGGGAAAAGTAGTTTAATAGCTTTCTTTGGTCTTTATTTAAACTTGAGAAGATAAGAGCGCTTGGCTAAGAAAAAAAAGTCTTGGTCGGCTTTCATTTGTCTAGCAGTTGATTTATTTATTTATATTTTCTCTCTTTCTTCTTTTATTTTGTGGTTACGCTTGCATGTGACCTTGCTCAAAGACGTGAACGAGCTGGAGTCTCCAAAACATGATACCAATCAATATATAAAATGTTTTATTGATGTGTGATAATTATCTTCCTAGGAATCTTCTATATTCAGAGAATAAATACAATTATTTGTTTTAAGGATCAATTAGTTCGGACAGTTTTAAGGTTTAAATAGTTAACGTGTTTTGAATGGATAGACTTGCGACGCTATCACGGCCAACTATATCCAAATTTAATTTGTCTTTGACGGAGACTATAGTAATGTAAATGTGAAAAAAATAAAAAAATAAAAAAATGAAGAAGATAATATGTATTTAATTTATCATTTTTGCAGTACGACGTATATATATTATCTAAAGAGCCATGCACCATGCTTATATATATTCCTACCCAAAGAAAATGGGCATAAACATAACAAGAATTGCTCTTCCCTGCTGTGTCAAATCATATCGAGATGGCAAACACTATCCAACTCTTACCCCTTGGTTCCTCTTTTGTTCAAATCCTTCCCAAACACAATTTGAGAGAAGCTATTTGTAATATTGAACAAAGGTGGAAACTACGTTGTGTTGCCAACAAACAAATTGACTACTCGATTACTAAAAAAGCCTCTAGCTATTACAAGCCAAGCTCTTGGAGTCATGAGTTCATGATGTCCGTGGGAGATGATAATTGGGTATAGGAGATTCTATTTCTTTCTTTTTTTTTCTTTTTTTTTTTTCCTTTCTTTTAATTCACTTCTTGAGAATAGTCCATTTTATCATATATTACAATATTTAAGTACTTGACTTGTTTAAATTTCAATTCATTTGATTTATTTGCTGTTAAGGAAAACTACCTAGGCAGTGAAAGTTTGACTTGAACCTAGTACCCGTTATTTAAAATATAATAAAATGAAAAAATGCAATATTTTTAGAGTTGAGACTTGAATTCTGATCTCTATACAAGACAAACGAACAAAATATAAAATCAACATCTATTGATTAATTTTTGCGCTGCAATTAATTTTTTTTTCTAATTACAAGTTAAAATTATTGTACACTGTAAACAACTCAAAATTTTCAATAAATTCTTAAACATCTTTTGTCTTGCATTCAGAAGGAAGTTTCAAAGGAGAGTAGCATAAAGAAGTTGGAGGAGGCAGTGAAATACATGCTTGACGATGAACGTATGGAGCCATTGGACATACTTCAATTAATAGATGAAATTCAACGTCTAGGCTTAGGATACCGTTTTAGAGAGAGCACAAAATGTGCCTTCAACCGAATTATACATTCAGGAAAAGTGATGAAGAAAATCGACCATAGTATTCATACTTGTGCTCTCTACTTCACCCTCCTTAGACAACATGGGTACGAGATTTCTGCAGGTACATAGTCAATT